ATTCACTGAAACCTCTTGGAAACTTTTGAATTATTTTCTCTTGAGTTAAATGTACTGAGGATGGAACTCTATTTTTCATTATTGTTCCAGTGGCGTAAATATGTTTTCCAACAAAAATTCAAACAAAGGTATTGTCGTTAAATATTGATGAAAATATGTGATTCTTCATTAAGTGTCTCTGCCAGGCGAACCACAGCAGAAGCTCTAACTCCAAGTTTTTTTGAAGACAGGTCAAGAAATGTATTTTTACCTTGGTACCTAAAAATCTATAATTAGGCCCTCGGGTGTAACACACACGAAATTTTTTAAACCTTCCGGATTCGGCTTCCCTTTTACAAACTGTTTTACAGCACACGTTCCTGTAAATGGTATTATTTGTTCATCAATGGCCACAATACTGCGCCTTCTCAATGACAATCAACCCCTTCTAATTCTATCTAAAATCGGCCGTATTTTCCACAACTTGTCTTTTTCCCTTGCTTCGTTCGATACGTCCATATCAACAACGACCTTTAAGTGACTTCTAATTGCAAAATATCTATCTCTACACATACGCTTGGCAATTGCATCTACTCGTGTAGTTTTTGCCCAGTACATTTTGATACGGGGATATTTTAGGCATGACATTAATACCGTAGCACCGAGAAAAACTCTTATTTCTTCAAGAGATAAGTTCATAGGTTTATTTTCATGTTCGACTATGTATTTAACATTTGTGCTGGAACACATATTCTCAAAATCTCCGTCATCAAGGTAAGTTGATAAATAATTTTCTACTCCCCAGTCTTTCCTCTCACAGAAACTTTCATCGGCTTGAGTATATTTTGTAGTAGGCCCCGAAAGTTTTGTTTACATCGCAATAATAGTCCAAAAGAATTTATTTTACCTATCAGATACCTTCCAATATTTTTTCTTACTTGTGGATTCTAATCTGGACTTAAGAATGTTCAGAGGAATGTCGAAATCAGGATCAGAATCATCATCCTCTGACTCTATTTCTAATAATAGTGGACAGTAGGTTCTTAAAGCAATATTTTTTGGGAGTAGCAAATTAGATGCTAAAAACTAAATATCCAACTTAATGGACGCCAGGTCCCAGGAGGATATGGAAAAAAGTTCACGATCATTTGTGACCATAGCCCCTTAACCTAGTTATTTTTAGTGAAAGGCCTAGGCTCGCAATTAATACGCAAAAAGTTGAAACTTGAGGGGTATGACTACAAAATTGTCTATAAACCAGAAAAATTTAGTTTGAATGCTGACGATTTATCACGAATCAAAATTAATATGACCAGTCAATTAATTCAAATTTTACGGGAAGGCATAGATTTCGATTCATACGTGAGTGATGAGAGAAACTACAACAAAATCAAAACAAATTAGCAAATAACATTAAAATGCGAAATTCAATATCTATTGATTTTATAGACAAGTTTAACAATACTTTAACACAAGTTAAGCACAACGAACTCTTGTTGAAAATGAAATTAATTAAGGTAACAAACTATTTATAACAAAATTCGATTCAATATTCTTTAATTGTTGAAAATATTTTAAATTAAACTATAAATATGTATGAACTAATTATATCTATTCTCTATTACATTCTCAAAATTGGGTATTTTACATCCTAGCATAGTCGGAACAATTGACTTATTTAACGAATTAACTTAATTATAACTTTCTTCAAATCAGTTACCCGTTTCACTTACCCTTGAAAATATACCAACTATCGAAAAGTTAATAAAAATCGAGTGTTATATATATAACAATAAAATAACTTTTCTTTTGTATTTACCTGTTATGCATCCTTACTGTTTTGAGTATTACCATCTATATTCCGTTCCTGTATTAACACAGGGTCAATTTAAGATTACCAGCTCAAATAACATTCTTCTATTAAAAAACGAATTGTACTTTGCATTCCAAAACGACATTTGCACCAAAATTATGCCACAATTATACATATATAGTCAAGCTAACATTCAAGAATATAAGGATAATGACCCTTGTGAAATACAATTGTTGAGGATGAAGAACACTAATTCCTGTCGACAAGCAGTAATCAATATATCATAATCAATTATTAAACAATTAGAAAAATCGACCCAGTGGATTGCCATATTTCCCTAAGAAGAAACCATCAAGTTGGTGTGTCAACAACAAGAAGAAACAAACAACAAAATAATGATTTCACACCAATCACAGTCAACACCGACTTCGACCTACACCAAATTAATTTGGGCGGACTATCTGAACTAAAGAAGACAATATTTGAAAATCAGCCACAAATCTCCTTCAACAAACTGGAACACAACTCCAGTGTTCGGACCATTACCCTGTATGCTTTTCTCGACAGAACAGATTATTTTGGATACAAATGAATACAAACAGAAAAATGTGCCAAAAAGGAACCAAAAATGGGTAACGAAGCAATAAGCTTGGAAAACGTTCAACTACCTCATTGCACTCCGAGATTAAAAATTCGAGGGGGAGGAACTATCTTACGGTATACCTACTGTACACCTGTTATTACTTAGGTATTATGTGCATCATTAAATCATCGCCGTGGCACATTTTGTTGTGCAAGCAACTAAGAAGACATAAAAAACATTTTTTTCACATGATATGAATTAATCATGTATTTAACATCTTTTAGTGTAGATACGTTTTTTTTGTAATTTTTAAAAATTCGATTTTGTCCGTCGAAAAGTTAATTCAATGCAAAAATATTGAGGTACTTACCTATGCAAAAAATCGCAGCGATGCTTCAACATTTTCTTTTCGAGTCAAATGGTCCAAGAAGTTTGCAATATGCTTTTAGCGTTTTGGGTATGTTTAATGAATAAAAACATAAATAAAACACTAATATATATATAACAATAACTTCAATTTATGTACACGCAACAAAAACCATGAATAAAAAAAAAAAATATACAACAGACGAAAGACAAAAGTGGAAAAGACACAAGAACACAACAAGACACAAAAATATATACAAAAACAATGAAAACAGACAGACAATTAACAACGGTGTTACCGCCACAAGGCCAATAAAATAGGCTCGATACATAATTGTACGTTTTGTGAATTCCACGCATGTCTGATGATGTCTTCGCGATGCGTGGGCTCAATGAAAAGTTTCCAGTGCTCTGGTGCATCTTCTAGCATCTGCGTTGGATGACGGGGTCGATAATAGTATAACTTTCCATCGTTAACCTTTCAGTGGGGATATCTGTCTCTGTTGGCCTTGACATCGTTTATTCTTTGGGAGTACCACTGCTCTTGGATATCGAGGACCCGTGCTAATCTGTCTGGATGAAATTCATTGTCTGCTTCCTCAGTCCGATCTTCATACGCCCTGGACAATGCGTCAGCTGCCTCATTGGTGGTACCGGGTCGGTGAACAATGTTTATTTGCNAAATATTGTAAAATTAGGATTAATTACGAATTCAATAAACCACTTTAACTTACGCGGGTCATCGCATAGCAGTCCGAAACGGCATATAGCAGGCAGACACATCGCAAAAACATGAAACAAATACCGAAGTTACTGTTTTGCATAAAGAAAAGGGGGTAAATGGTAACTCACCGGGGGAATTGCATCCCCCATGCAGACCTTTAATAAAAAGCCCATCTTTCCATATCAGATATATATTTAACAAACCATAATCTTCAGAAATGTACATTTCCACCTGAAACGAGTAGAGGCTCCCCCGGACGCCCGACTACCGCGCTAGTAGTCACCATCCCAATGATTTGGTGTTTAAAACTAAATAGAAGTGTACACTTAAAGCATATGCAAAACAGTTCTGCACACAGGCCTGGCCAAAACAATACTGACTCAAAATAAGACAAAATATATCCGTACCCGGCTACTCACCTTCATGAAAAAAAGGTCATATTTCAAATCATAACACCGACAAACGGATGAAGATATATTAGTTAGATAAAATAAAATCACAATTCCACTAATAATAAGAAAAAATAATAAAAAATTACTCCAAAACGTAAATTATTGTTACAGTACATAAATTTCACATCTGTATAAAACCTGTGTATAACATCTCATTTCAAAAGCCATTTTTTTTTTTTTTCATTCTTCCCATTTTAATAACAATTCCCAACAACTACGTAATTGTTTTTCAATATTATTATAACTTTTATAGGTAGTAATAATATATTCATCCTTTTATGTCTTAATCAATGCGGTGTTTTCTTCCGGGCTTTTTGGCCGTGGTCCGTGGAATTTTACTTTTCCAAACATTTCGCCGTTCTTTGCTGACGTCATCTTTAGTAGTGACTGGGCAGGTACTGAGTCGTAACTGATAAATCGTTTGGAAAAGTAAAATTCCACGGACCACGGCCAAAAAGCTCGGAAGAAAACACCGCATCAATATACGCCGGCCGTGAAAGCCTAAGAGCTACAGTATGTCTTAATCGTTTCTTTCATATTTAATCGTTTAAATTTTATGATTATATATATTATATTATATTTTTCTTCTTTTATTCATAAATACAAATTTACATTTTCTAAATACCAGCATCCCCAGCGCCTAAAGTATACGTAATTACGAGCTTCCTGACGGTGGTAACTATTAAAACTTCATTAAATACTATTATCTATGATTAAATACATCTTCTATATACACCTTAAGACAACATAAATCATTTCAGAAAACTGCTTTTGACTGCAGTATTGTTGTCCCATTTTTTTTCCATGTATTTTCTACTGATATAGATAACCCTGTTACCACACTTTAAACAGCAGGTTGTCGACATTATTTTTATAATAAAATGCTACATTGCTTCTGCAACCCAATATTCATTTTATTCCCTGACGGTACCACCAGTGTACTCTTATAATGAGACTATCAAGCTTACGGAATTTTCTCTATGGTACGAAGTGTAACGTCTACGAAAATATTATTTATCTCTAATATGTCAGTCTATGGTCAGTCTATAATATATGTCTATGGTCTGTGGTCTTGATCTATTATCTATGGTCTTGATGTTTTTGGGGTTTTTGGGGTCTGCAATTTGCATTTTCATCAAATGTAATCGATAATCACACTGAAATCGAAGAAATGATAAGACTATATGCAACATGTTTCACGCGTTAAGAGCAATTCATGTTAAATATGAAATTGTTAAGATGATAGATTGATATGTGGGAGATTTTATTTATTATCAGTGTTATTTTTGTTTTAACAGGAAAGTGTAAGTAATTTTCATTTACAGTTATTTGTTTGCGTAAGTGCAATTTTAATATTAGTTTTTCATTTAAGGCTCAGATGGTCATTGTGTTGATGTCCATTCTCATATTGTTTCTCAAGGAGTTCATTATATTCCTGGACCTAACAGTTGTACTGTTTGTCTTTGTGAAAAAGGTAGTCCCACATCATGTAAATCTGTGTTATGCACCCAACCAACTGTAAGTAGTACTTTTATTTAAACAAGTGGTCACTAATCTTTTGTGTTACAGAATTGCAAGTCATTTCAGAGAGGAAACACTTGTTGTGATTTTAAATGTTTAGATGACATTTTGGATGGCAATACTTCTTACAAAGATACATATGACTTAGCATTGCCACTTTTTGCTAGTGTTGTATTTGCAGTAATAACTCTTTCTCTTCTCTTTTTTGTTGTTCACCGTTTTCGGAGAAGGAAATTACATGAAAGGCATAATAGACAAATAAGTGATGATCAACGAAGTTTAAACAGCATAGGCTATATTGCTGGTGGACTAAGATACTTGCCAGGAAATATAGGGTATGTTTTCTTTATTTTCTTGATTAAATATTTGGTAATTCTTTACATTAGTTGACATTGGAATTGAGACATGAAGTTTAGTCAGGTAGGTAGTACTCACCAAGTGAAGTAGTGTAGTAGTATTTACTAGAATTTTGTTTATTATTTGTTTAAAAATGAATGTGAGTGAGATACAGGCCCTTAAAGTTTTCTTAATCGGAGGAAATACCGGTAGGTACGGCCCTGGCTTCAGCCTTCCGTCAGCTGTTCCCGCCAAACATCGTTTGTCCTAAAACATATCTTCCTAACATTATTCTAATGTATCAGCCCGCCTTTGGCGGGCAGGGGCATTAAACAAACTCGAGTCTGTCATACATCTACCTAACTAAACAATGACGTCATCAATGCATATTTGGCGAGAACAGCTGACGAAGGGCTGCAGCCAGGGCCGTACCAATCGAAATTTCCTCCGATTAAATAACTTTAGGAGCCTGTATCTCAAGCTACATTGGTTTCCGCACGGAATTAATGCTACCACACGATTCTACTTGGTCAGTACTACCTACCTGACTAAACTTCATGTCTCAATTCCAATGTCAACTAATGTAAAGAATTACCAAATATTTATTTTCTCTTTTGTAGGTATTTAAGATCTGCTAGTAATGATTTAGAATTTCACTATGAAGAGACTTCAAATCATTTGTCACTGTGGAAACCTCCAGGAAATTATTTTCCTCGGGGAGAAGCACCACCACCTTATGAGGAAGCAGTTCGATGTCAACAAATAGGAGGTAATGCAAGAAATTCAGAAGTGAACAATACTGTAGAAAATAATCAGAATCAACAACATTTTCTATGTGCAAATCAAATTGCTCCCCACCATCAATCAACATTAATAAATAGTCATCAGTCTACAGGTGACTCAATAAGGGGAGAATCATCAAATAACGATCCTTCAAGTAGGCAAGAAATAGCACATATAACACACACACTCAATAGATCTGATGATTATCAAAATATTAAAGTGCAAGACCAACAAGAACTTGTGCCTTTAGTGGAACAGATAAAAGCTGAAGTTAATGCTACTGATCGTTTTCCAAAACCAGTTCAAAATAATGCACATTTGGAAAAAAGTTTACATTACCCTAGACCAGAAAGACATAAAAAAAATATAACTATCTGTGAAAAAGTCAAATGTTGTGAAGATAATGAAAGTAATGGATTAATAGGAAGAAGTCAACCATCAGAAATAGAACCTGAAAATAATTGGATCAAATCAAATGTGAATTTTGTTTTTCACAATTTCCACTTGGATAAAAATAATTTAGAAAAAACAAATGAATATCAAGATGCAATGTTAAATACTTTGAGTCGCGCTATTGTTAAAGATAAAGCCAGTTCAAAAACATTAGGGAGACTTAATAAGTTAACACAAAAATGCATGGAAGAGAATAAATATGAAAACATGGGGTTTTCTCTACAAAAACAAAAGCTTCGAAGCATTCCTGTTCCAGTTGAATTTCGAAATGAAAAAAATGACGATAAAAGCAACAAATGCAGAGACGCACATTTATATAGTCATAAAAAAGAAAAAATAATAGTTAATGCCAATGCAGCAACTTCTAGGGGATATTCTGAGCCTAAAAGAGCAAAAGAGCAAATCTTTCTTATAGATTCTAAGGCTGCTCCATTCTTTCTTAAGGATCTTAAAAAATCATTAGAAGACTGTCGAGATTCATCCTGTAGTTTATTAAGAGATCCTAATGATGTACCTGTATTTACTGTTTGTCGGAGTAGAGAAATGCTTCAAGACAATAAAAATTTTTCCTTACACCGTACATTACCAAAGAACTTAAAAGAACTTGTCACAGATTCGGCAAATGGTGATCTTGGTTTTAATTATTCATCCAATAATTCCGGGAATTATTTATTACACAGATCTTTGCCAAAACACTTAAATAATTTTGATGCTAATGTATCCGCTAATATGGCTAATACATCTGTCCCAATAAAAAACGATAATGCAAAAGAATGTCCACTTCTGAAGCCTGTTAATCTTCACTCCTCAAATCCTTCAACTACACTAACTAGTAGTAAACAAAATTTAATAGATACAAAACGGAAGGATGAGCAAACTCCTGGATCTTACCAGTGTTTATTTTTTCCTCAAGATGATGATGATTATAGGTAAGTTAACAACATTCTCTATATTAACCTGCTTATGTTAAACTAGTTCTGTAGAAATATGAGTGTCAGGTTGTTCTATACTGCTTTGCACTATACTGTTTTGCCTTATGCCAAGCAACTCAATTTACCTAATCGCGTTTAAATTTCGCATATTTTTCTTGAATTGTAAGAAGAAAGTGAAATAAAAAAATTAATGATTGCAAAATTAAAAAGTAGTTTAATGTCTGTTTTGATAATTATAGTCTAAATACATCAAATAAATAAGTCACCCACAGCAACTTTGAAGTACTGCACCTCACTCACGGTACTTATGGCGGGTTTCTAAGTTTATACACTGAGAAGCACTTACGAAGCATTATACGATTCATAAAAGGAAAATTGTTGTAATTCATTCTGTGGTTGAGGCGAAAGTCACCCACAGTAACTCTTAAGTGATGTAACTTACTCAAGGTGCTTGTGTCAGGTTTCTAATGTTATGCACTAAGAAGCAGTAACGCAGCATTATTACGTTTCTTGAGTGAAAATAGTTTGTGCTTCATTTTTGTGGCTAACTTCACGCGCCTTGTCTTTTCATATCCATTAATTATTTAAAATACAACAAAAAGAGCTGTTCTTATATCATTTTTAACTAATGTTCCTATTAGGTAAATTTCATCCCGGACGTCCCTGCATAAATGAGTAATTAATCTTTTTATAGTAGAATAAAGATTCGGGCTATAGGGCCGTGGTCTAAGTGAACTATTCTGTCCAGACGTTTCGTCGGCTACTGCGGCTGACATCTTCAGTGGTAATGCTTTCTTTTTCGGAAATATTCTAGTCGTCTTGTTAAACGATGAACTTCCTCCCCGTAGAGGCGAACAATATTAGAACAAAGGCTTTCACGGCCGGAATCCATAGTAGAATAAAGATTCGGGCTATAGGGCCATGATCTAAGTGAACTATTCTGTCCAGACGTTTCGACGGCTACTGCGGCTGACATCTTCAGTGGTAATGCTTTCTTTTTCGGAAATATTCCAGTTGTCTTGTTAAACGATGAACTTCCTCCTCGTAGAGGCGAACAATATAAGAACAAAGGCTTTCACGGCCGGAATCCATAGTAGAATAAAGATTCTATTAATCTTTTTATTTTAACTTTTTGTAAATCTACAAAAAATAAGTGATTTTTTGTCAGTCATATTTACAAGTAATCCTAAATATATATAGGATGTCGAAAAATTACCGTTCAACGTATATAACTTCGAACACGCTTAAGTTGTTTTTTTCAAATGAAGCACCCTGTATATCATTTCATTAGTAAATGTAGAATTGAATTCTTGGCCGATTTGTATAAGGATTCCCTACATCTATTTGTAATAGTTTCTAAGTTCTAAGAAATTTTTAAAAAAAGCCTACATTATTACGTTTTTAAACGCTTTATCATGGTAGGCAAACACTGTTGTGCACTAAGCGCTCTGTCAGATGTTTTATATTCCGATAGTGTTGAAATTTCAAAATGGAAAACGAACAGAACAATTATACTAATAACGATATTTTATTTTACTTTCATGGAGAATGTCACAAAATTGTAGAGAGGACTTCTCGTTTTTTAAACCAAAGATATCCGAATCTGCCTCCCATGAAATATATAAAATGCAGGCGAATAGAAACACAGTATCTACGTTTTCGAATTGGGACAAAGAAATTGTACCAAAAACCCGTAACTAAAGACGAAAATAACAAAATTAATGTACTATCTTACTTTAATGTTAACCCTAGAAGTTCCATTTCTATAGCCTTAAATGAGTTGGGAATATCTGTCACATCAGTCCACAGAATGTTTCACAATCATAAGTTCCATTAATATTACTGTATTTACAATCATTTAAAGAAGGGGATGATACAAGAAGAATTGAATTTTGTGAATTTATGTTAGTACGGTTGCAAAATGATCCAACTTTCTTCGGACAAGTCTAAATTTACGAGGAAGGGGTTTGTAAATCGGACAAATTTACACTTTTCGGACTCGCATAATCCTCATATTGTTAGGGAGTCGAAATTCCAGGATAGATTTAGTTTTAATATGCTTTCTCTAATGCTGCATAATAGAGTGATATTTGTTTACGATGGAACTTTAAATGCGGAAAGGTATGTAGGAACGGTAGAACAGACGAAATGCATCGAAGGATAATGAGTGCTTAAACAGGAATGGAGGACACATTGAACATTTATACTTTATCGTTTTCATTTAGTTGTCAGCTGTACTATTTTTATTGTATTTTTAATATTCACATGCATATACGTTTCTATTCGCATCGGAGGCAGATTCGAATACCTTTGGTTGAAAAGACCTTTGTACAACTTTCTGACAATCTGCATGAATGTAATATAAATTTAAAATATCGTTATTATATATATATCGTGTTCTGTTCGTTATACATTTTGAAATCTCAACACTGTTGGAATTAATATAAAACATCTAACAGCATTTTAAAACGTAATAATGTAGGCTTTTTTAAAAAAATTAATAGAACGTAAAAACTATTACCAATAAACAACAAGCGTGTTTGAAGGTTTATACGTTGGACGATAATTTTTCAACACCATGTATACATTTAGAATACTAACAATATAATTCCAGATAGAGATAGGTAGAAGATATTTGATTACTCAATTTGGCTACAGCAGTTTCTAAATTAGCTGAATAATCCGCTGTTTAGCATAGGAATGTAATTTTATAAATTTTCAGAAAAATCAAAATATCTCGAGAGCTACTAATGTTTTAGATAAATTATATAATCTTGTCGATTTAAAACTGTTTGCTGAATCTGAAAATGTCAAAAAATATAACCGGAAGTAACGGACGATTGCAAATATTTTAATTAGAAAGAGTGTCAGATTTTAGGCTATCTTTAATGGTACTTTAAGTTTAAAAACTTTTAATAAACAGGTTACGTGAAAACCCCTGTATCATCAATAGTTAATATTTATTTTTTAGAAGTGAATGTGAAAATTGTAAAATCGTTGATTCTGCAGCAAATGACGAAGAAAATGATGTGTTTAATGAAACAATGACACTTCAAAGAAGACCTTTAGAAACAGTGGATGAGTTACCTTACTATCGAACCTCCTTAACACTTCCAACTCAAATCAAAAAACCAAGGTAACGACCTCTTTATTCATTACATATAAAATTTTGAATGTTAAAAAGCGGTGTGTTCTTTCTAGACCTATCCTTCAAAATCCCAATCGAGAAAATTGGTTTAGAGGTATGCAGGAAACATCTAGTAGTGATGAGTCAGAATAGACATTGAAGAAGTAATTGTATATGTAGTAGAATCTGTATTTTATGTCTTAATTCCACTGCTCTTTAAAATAAATATCAAAAACTTAATTTCAAAAGTAAAACCAAACATATCTGAAATCATATCATATTGAAATGATGAAAAATTATACACAAGAAAATATACTTGGTAACTAAAGGAGAAAGAGTGCAGTCATATGTATAAGTTTAGGTACATGTTGGAACAGGAGGTGGATAGTTTTGCGAGTAACAATTGGAATCTGCCAAAACGTTAGAGAGAGAAGGGCGAGGTAGTTGGCCCCCTTCGAAACTTTGAAATTATATGAACTACTTCATAAAATTTGCTTATTTCATTGTAGTATACAGAGAAAATGTGTTGGCCGTAAATGCATATTTTCTCAAAAGATGAGAAAGTTGTTTTTTATATAAATAATTACATTAATTAATTTATTTTTTGAGTCTCCTTTCTCCCTATAAAATCCGGCTACATCTTTGTCAAGTTATATATTGGCTGTAGATGTTTCAATTAAACCGTGTTCTAGTACTGGCGCACACTAACTCTTTTCTTCGATGAGGTTCTAGTTGATGTACATAATATTTCAGGCTTCTAGGTTTCGTTGTAGTCATGGTCTCTTTCCGTTACTGTGGTATTCAATTGAAGGTTTCGACTGCACTACCAAACATTTGAAAGAAAGGAACCGTGATCGCGGTGAAAACCAGAAGCTCTGAATAATATTATGGACTACGTTACATTACACTAATTGATACAACCATGACATTGTGCAGTGTCGTTTTTTTTTTTGTTTCTTTTTTTCTTGTCATAAAAACCAAAAAATTGCTTTAGTTGTGAATTTCAATATACCAAAATTGATCTTTAAAAATAAATTGGTACACATTTACAGTGGACTATATGTATAAAATTCTGATTCTACTTGTATATATACAAATTTAGAAATTTTGTTATTTATTTAGTCAATACTTCAAAATATTTTGTATAATTGTATAATAAGGAAAAGGACAAATTAACAAACAAATTTCTACACACCTTATAAAGTTTTGAAACAATTTTATTTGTTCTTTTTCTTATGTTAAACACGTTTTATCAAGTATGCACCACTTATAGTTTGAATTTCAGTATGCTTTTATTAAAGAAACATTTTTTTACCAAAAAAGTATTTATTTATCGAGCTCAATCAAATAAATTTTAATTTAAAAATAACGTGGAGCACTATTTTATATTCGAGCAGGTTATTAAATGTGTTTAGTGTAATATACAACCATACAAGAGCGTTGTTCAAAATGTCCAAATTGTACATACATTACCATTAAACATTAATTAATTATAGGATTCTAAAAAATCGTAATAGTAAATGAGATGAAATAGTTAGTTGAGATCTTAACTTCATTTCAGCCATTTCGAAATTCATTATTTTATTTTCAATAATTTACAAGTACCATGCAGTTATAATTGATAATGTGATTGAAAGTGATAAATTTCATGTACATACGATCAAACGATGCGTATAGATAAATATGTGTTAATTAATGTATATATATATATATGCCCCAGTAGACATATTGTTATTCTTCACTTTCAGTAAAAAAAATAATGTACAGGGTGTAGAATAACTTAAAAGTAATTGTTTTATCGTAGTCATTTACCATAATGATTGTTATATGTCAAACAATGAGCATGTGCACTTAAGTCTAATTTTTAAGTTTTTAATTATGTATTTTTAATAACCAAGGCCTACTAATTTTATAAATATATAGGTTTTTATACTTCTTCGAATGTCTGTTTTGATATTTACTGATTATTCTTTTTTTCCGTATTTTTTAAGATATGAACTTCAATTGGAGACTGTCAAAAAAAAAAACACCCCCCTTGTACCACAAACTTTTTTAATAACAACACGTATATACGTATTTTGAATGTGGGCGTTACCAAAGCGATACGAAATATTATTACAATACTAATTTTACATTTAGAATTTGTGGTGTGAAACGGTTTTGCCGCTTAGAGTAAGTTCTAAGTAATCAAATCATTACTCAAGAAATGCAAAAAATGTTCTAGATCAAAATAAGCACCAAAAAATTAGTTATTTTTTTATCAGATAACAATAGTTTATAACTACATGTAATTGTCTAGTAAAGCGCATGTATTACAATTGTTTGAATCTGGAACTACGTAACTTAAGGGTATGTTCTCATTGTTTCTGTTGAATAACTAAGTACTTAAATTACTTACGCAGTAGTGAATTGTTTAAGTTCTTGAAGTCTCTCTTCAAAAGTTAAAATAAGGTGCAGTTTGTTGTTTATCTAGTTTTACCTCTGTTGTGCATGTATATAACATTCTGTAGGCCCAATTATAAGCGATGCAATTCAAATTTTGTGATACCAGGCGGCCATATGATTACTTTTTTAAAAGGTATTTTATATTAATATTGTGGGTACTTATATTTTTATTATTAATTTAGATTATTGTTTTTATATTACTCAATTGTAAAATATAAGTAATTTGCAAAAATATACTTTTTTTAGAATCCTGATTTTATTCATTTCGTTCATAATTATTTTTCATTAAATATATTTTTTAAAAGGGAAGACACAGCCATAGTATGATTCNGTAGTCTAGGAAAGCTGATTCAGAGATGATTTTAATAAAATATACTGTTTATTTTACAAAAATAATAATTTTTATAAGTTGCAAATTAATAATAGTAACTAATGCTATTAGGTTGAATTCTTCTCTTTCTTAATATCATATCTAAATGAGCTAAATGGTGAAGAAATCCTATGTTGGGAAAAACACGCCTTCTTCTAAAAACATATTCTAACGCTTCTGTTGCAGATTTATTTTTCATTATCATCAAATATGCAATAACTAAAGTAGCAGATCGAGATATACCTACTACACAATGTACTAGTATTTTTCCTACAAAATTAAAAAAGGTTTTAATAAATAAGCTTTTATAATTCGATAGTTTTATTTACATACCCCCATTTATAACAGCATTATGAATGAATTTAGAAGCTTGTTCAAAGTAAACTGAAATATTCCAGGAAGGTCTATCATGCCCTGGAATTCCCAAATATTTTATGTTTGTTCCTGCGTAATAATTATTGTCTGTATTAACCTGGCATTCATCTATTCCTTGTGCAGCATTTAGAACGTGTGTAAATCCATTCTTCATTAAAAATCTCTTATCTTTGGCAGCATATCTAAAACAAAAAATATATATACTTAATTAGTCTGCAAATTACACAAAAATACTTAAGTAGTCTAGGAAAGCTGATATAAAATAATGTATGATGTATATTAAAATAACACACACTTATCTCCTAAATATAAACCGTAGTCGATTTTATCAACAGAATGAACATGAGAAATTCTCGTACTAGGATTCGATCTTATTGTTCTTGTGAATTCGTTTAATAAAACGTCCAGTTCTATTCCAGACACATTTTTCATACAAATTTGAGGACGCAATGTGCCCTGCAAAAGCAGTTGACAATTTGTTATAATCAGTAGTCTATAATAAACTTACACTGTAAACTTTATCACGCCACATTTTTTAACAGAACACACTAGGTATCAGAATTTGAAATACTATTGATTAAATTATTTTCACTTGACTGATTAATACTGAAATTTGATTGTATCATTTTCTTATTCATGTACCAATGGATAGGAGTCATTAAATTTGGAACAGTTCAAACAAACCGCTGTAATAAATAATCTAAAAATAGGTCTTTGGTTTAAGGCCAAATTTTTGATACTTCTTAAAATAAACATGAACAGATGCGAATCGTATCCTTTTTTTCTATTTATAATTAATTTAATGTATATAATTGTATTTAACAAAAACACAATAATCAATACAAATATACAAAAATATAAAGTACGAACAACGAACTAAATTTCTGGAGTACAAAATAAGTTACATCAGTTTTTTTATTACTTCAGATCTAATATTGAATGGTTATTATAAGAAAATCAAAAACAAATGCGAAGATATTTCAAACTAATAATACCGCTGAAGGAGATGAAATATCATTTCGTCTGGGCTTCAGGGTCCCACTGATTGTGGTTCGCACCGTACAACACCGTGTGTATATCTTCTCTTATTTTAAGGCGGTAATTGGGAAATCTCGAGCGTATTAGCCTCTGATTATATTATTGAGATGCGCAGAAAGTAAGAAATAGATAGATCAAGACTAGAAAATGTATAGATAAGAAAAATATACATAAAAATGTAGGGATGAGTTACAGAGATAGAAGAGTGGTACTTAGTTTGTCTAAAGAACAACAGGCAGTTATAGAACTAGGGATGCAACGTAGAGAAGTAAATATTAGGAAGGGAGTCAAACAGGGATGCACCTTGTCACCGATACTTTTTAATCTATACATCGAAGACGCGATCAACATCATTAAAGACAGTACAACTACAGGGATAGATTTAGAGGGGCAAAAGATTAGTATGATTAGATTTCCAGATGATATAGTAGTATTAGCATCTAGCAAGGAGAAATAAAATGAAGCAGTATTGACAAAACAGTACTGCATGAAAAAAAAAGAATCTAGGAAGTCAAATAAGTCAGGACGGAAGGAGTAGTAGGAATATAAAGCAAAGTAATTTATAAATTCGAAAAAGATTGTTAAAGATGGAAAAGAAAATGTTAGGAGCGTTCGACATGTTATCGGTGAATGATGAAGATACCGTGGATAAAGAAGGTTAGAAATGAAGAGATATTAGAAAGAATAGGAGAAGACTCTATGGAAGTCAGAGATATATCAGAGGCAGAAACAGGAATTAAGTAGAGTAGAGGTAGACCTAGATTAGATTACTGTTTGCAAATAGTTAAGGATGTGGATTGTTCTAGTTTTTGGGAAATGCCAAGATTAGCTCAGGATAGGAAAGAATAGAGGTACGTGTCCAACCAGTCTCAGGACTGACGTCCTTATGATGATGATGATAAGCGAAGTCTCATATATTCACTATTTGTTGTTGTTATTTATTATTTATTTTTGTTGTAATTTACTAAAATGTTTAATTGATAAACCCACCTGCAGCTAATTTTTTAAGCTCGGTAGTACCGGTTTGCAGTTTGTATTGCTTTATGGTACCCTTTTTAAGTTCAGTATCCAGGTACGGCTTCGCCCATCTNAAGTTTCCGACAACAATTGGTAACACTATTTTGCTTTTTTTCAAATATAAATATTTTCGCTATTCGTTGTTGCCTGAGCTGTTCTAGAATTTTAGTAATATTTTATCTGAATACTATTTTGGCAATGTTCAGGTAAGAGTGAAGTTAACAATAATAAAATTACATTCCATATTCGTTTTAACTAGCCTGTTTTTTTTTGTTTTAAAATATCACTTTTACAAGTATTGTAGCATTACAGAAGAGATTCTGTGATAGATTTTTGGTGTCTTATGATTAGCGCCAAAGGAAATATACGCAGAATAAAAAATAATACAGATAACATTAAAGTATTTATTAATAAATATATTATAGGCACAAAGTATGACGATAAAAGTTACTGCTTGTGTAAAAAAAGAGGGGTAAAATCTTACAATTCTATATTTTTCTTGTACCATACACATCATCGATCATATTAATATAACTTTTTTTGTTACGTGCAGGTTAAATACTGCGAAACAAAACTTAAGACTTATTTATATACAAAAGTTTTTTTTTAATTAAGAGGTAGCAAGTTATTCAATTATTTCTCTCACAATTCTTATTACAATTTAAAACTTCTTTTAGCTGTCGCGAAAGTTACGTCAGTTTCCATACATTACATTTTATAATATAAATTACTATACCTAAGTGATGCTTAGGTTAACAAAACATTAAATAAATACTTAATTAATTTTGTAAACTATATTATTAATTAAAAGACTAGTTTTAATTATATTTACAAAGTGACAAAAATAAATAAGGCAGATATTAATTCTATATATCATCAGTTTTTGTTATACAATATTGAGAAATTAATTATATTTGTTTTAAATAAAACAAACACAAATCACGAAATACATAATAAATAAAATGCTGAAAGGCAACAGCATGGTCCCATCTAAGTTTACAGTTTTAAATAATTATATTATTAACTTACTACAAAGGTACCTATATCGTAAAATATGTGTACACATAAATATATTAGGTATTATCTAATATAAAAGTATTTTATACTTTATAAACGACATTTTTGCCTCAGAAAGTTAAAAATATGGGCTTTTTTAATTAATCATAAATTACACAGAATGAATGTCGACAATATTATTTCTACAATTATTTGCAGTCTGTTTCTCTCATTTTTAATAAAAAGACCATTTATGTAATTTTGCCCATTTTTTATCACTTGTACTTAATGTTATGACAATAAAAATTTAGAGGAACAAATTTTTACGGTGGTGTTAACTTTTTTTTTTTAAATATAATATACTCTTCCTTATAAATTTCTGTAGAAGTTCTTACTTAAAACTAGAAAACAAAAAGGTAGATTTGGGGATGATGACTTATAATATAATCTTGTATCGATTTAAAACATTTCGTGATTTTAAAAATTAATATTTGTCAATTGATTATAGAAAACATTCGACGCTGTTGTAGCACGCTTTTGTAGATATTTTAGTTTTTGTAAAATTACATAAGTTAAATTAATTAATTGTACATTTCAAGTGAATTTTAAAATCAAATACAACCAGAAGAACTTTCTAGTACTGTCACATTTAAAGAAATTAAACATTTAGCCAAATAATACACAATACGGCATTTACGTTTTTGTGAAGAAAAGATTGTAATGTATTTATAATTAGTCAGTCTTGTTATTGTTATATAAAACCTTTTATTAACATTTCATATCTTTCAACAGATCCTATAAAATTTTTATTTTAATACAAACAATTTAAATTTGAAATAATTGAAATTAGAAATGTTTGAATTTATTTTCAAAGCACTATTTACAACAGATTATGATTCGAATATGGTGCAAATATTTGAGTAGGAATTGTTAGTCTATAATTATGAAGACATTAATGCACGTTTTATTTAGTATCACAGAAAAAAGAGCTAATATTATTAGGAACCATTAATGATATCTAATAAAGGAGTGATGTTATTATTACAGAGAATTACTTTTACTTATTTTCATTTTTCCATTTGTTTAAAATTTAAATACATCACTTGACATAGTTTACATGATGTAGTATCAAATTTAATTGAGAGATATTTGTACTAAGAAAATTTATAATCATATTACAGTTATTAGGAACTTTTAATTCGAACAAGATACATTAAGATAATCTACAATTGAAACAAAAAGAAGATGCGAACTGCTGCTGCCCATTATTTTGCAATATTTTTTTTGTAATTACTATACATATTAGATAGAGAAACTTTATTTTAAAATTTTTAAATGGCTAGATGTTCATTTCTTCAACAAAATTTTGAAAAAACAAAAGAAAATGTATACACGAATTACCTATTTATTCTATAAATAAAACGCTTGGGAATTCAAACAACCACTGGTGTTTCTTGATAGTGATGATAATGATGATGAATGTGTTCATGCACGTGATGATGCTCATGCCTTTCAACGTTTGGCTTAGTATCAGTAGGCGAATTTTCACCTTTATCATCTTGAGGACTTTTACGAGATTCAGTAGATTTTGTTTTATCCTCGTTATCGCTAGTAGCATGTAAATTCGATGAGAATTCTTGTTCAAGCCACCTAACTACTTGAGCCATTGCTCGGGCTTTGTCTTCCTGCCGATTTCTATGGCGAAGATGATGTGGGGACGACGTATGACCCAAAACAACTTGAGGAAACTTTCTAATATTCTTTTTAACTGCTGGTGTTGCTTCTGATTCACATTTTGTTTTAGTTTTTTTCGTTATTTTTGGGATACCATCGGGGATCATAAAAGATGAATCTACTAAATGATATTGGAATGGATTAACATTATTATTCGTTGATTCTGGATATTTAAGCCGCACGTGTCTATGACAGCCCTGTGACCTTTTTGTAGTTATCTGCTTGTTAGAAACGCACATAACCGCGTCTATTAGCTGACCATACTGACAAGTAGTGTTGGGCAATTGAGTTGTATTTTGTAGAGATGCTAAATCTACATATAAATGGGTAGGATTTATCACATTAGCGAGACATTGGAAAGGTACACTTGGAAATCGAACAGTTTTGTGCCTATGTTTATGTTGTTTAATGTAATTCTGATTTTGAGGTTTTTGAGAATCCAACACAACATGATCCACACATGGTTTTCTAAAAGTAATATTAATTCACATATAAAATTCTTAAAAAAAATGCCTATAAACTGACACTACTTAATTATGAATTCTTACCGTTTTGTATGAAAACTTAGATTATTTTTATCCATGTTGGCTTGAAGGATCTCCAAAAGTTCTTGACGTTGAAGAGACATAGACCTTTTATTTAACTTTTTAGTCTTTGAGCATATATTCGAATGGCTGTTATCAACACAGTCTTTTGTTGTAACATTAATACTATTCTTAATGTCAGAAGTGGAATGCTTGTTACACTGTTTTTGAGTTACATTCGTTTTACAAGTTCTAATGTTAGAGTATATTTCGGTTTCTTCATCGTCACTGGAAATATTACTGCAAACATCGGAATAGTCGTCTGAACTATCAACAAAGTCATTGGTTTCTTGAAGTTTCCGACAACAGTAGTGAGTCTTTAGTTCTTTTTGTTTTTGGTGATATCGACATTGTTTTTTCCTGTCCTGAGCAACATGTCTTATTGTTACGTTGAAATCCTTTTTCGTTAAAATATCTTCTAAATTTTCATTCAGTCTGGTTTCAGTTTCTTCACGTTTTATGTTTGGAGAAACAGTTAATTTTACTTTGATAGTTTTACTTCCAAAATGAGGCATTTCGATCGAAGAACCCAAGGCTTCATAAATCGTGGTAACAAGGCCAGCTATGTCCTGAAATGAAGAAATAAAAACTTATGTCAACAAAGCATCAATATAAATTCTGTCCTATTTTTAATCTAAACTTTTGTCTCGTAAAATTTTGTAATATAAATAATTAATGTGCTATTGAACAGTTGGGGATACTACACTGGTTCACCAAATAAACGTATTTTCAATTTAGCATGTTCAATAGTTGTAGGAAGAGGAAAACGCCTATTACATTTTAAAGCCGAAATATTAACAATACCTATTAGTTGTTATTATTATTATTATTTATTTAGTGGTTTCTGAAGGCAATTTTTTTATTTTCCATATTTTTACGACTAGTTGCCTCTGAATGTTGTAATTCAATAATGGGACACTGCACATAAAAGTATCGTACATATTTTTATGAGATTTAATTTTCTATAAATATGATCTCATAACTTTTTGATAACTTAATTATTTGAAAGCTTAGTCAAGGTTAAAATTGCGAGCATCTAAATATGATTTTTTGCTCATTAACAGCGAAGTTTCTGGTCTTATTACAAAATACTGTTTTTTTTAATCATTTCAACTGCTATAAAATCATGTCGCACGATAAATAAATGGTTGATACTGTACATATGTATTAAAAATTTATATATCTAAATGTACGTCTTTTTGATAATTATTTTGATGAACGTGAATTATTTTTGTTTAAAGTCCGTAAAAAAAATAGAAAACTATATCTATAATTAAAATAACTATATTAAAATAATAGACAACTTGTTTGCACAATAGTTTCATTTTATTAATAATAAGACGAAATATGTAACTCCTCCTTAGTTAAATTGAAGATGTCTCAGGTAAAGTTGGATAAATGTTGATAAGAATTTTTGTCCTTGATCGTTGTTTCTTAAATACACTTCACTTTTGGCATTCCTGAAAATTAGTATACCGTTTTCCCGTTGTCCCTCACCGTCTGTCTATAGAAATTCGTCATGATGTTCAGGAACCGTGCAGGAGGAACTATACTAATGTTTGTAGGCAATGGATTAATTTGGGAAATATTGTAGACTTTTGGATGCAATATAGGTGTTTTGACAATTTATACAACCAATTGAGAAGTCAGAGATGTCTGTAATAAAAATAAAGGAAAAACCTCATATAGGTAAATGAGAAGTATGCAGAAAGTATTCTCTGCATCGAAAATGGGTTAAAAAGACGCTTTTTAATTTCATAAAAGGTACCTATCAAGAGAAATTAATTCGATTTCTAGACTTTCGTTACTAAAAGCGACTGACCTTCCTGTTAATAGTATAATTTCTATCAAGACGTTAAAGGTAAGTTAATACAGAACAAACATTTACGTATGACTGCGTTATTTCACTTCAGAAAACGTGAAAGCGAAAGATTGAGGATGTGACTGGGTCGTTTCGCCTAAAAATTTAAAGCTGGGGGTCTGACGTAATTTTTGGGTGAAGAATGAAATTTGATGAAGAATACTGTTTTCAATGTCCGAATCACATTCGAAAAGAGACATTAACAATTTGGTTGCATACAACCAAAAGTAAAGGAATTATATTTATATATATAGTTAATGAGAGTTACAGTTAATACATTGGTTGTAGTGTTTCTTTCATTGTTCTACAATATTTTAATTTTAGCGGAAATATCGTGCAATAAATGTGCAATAAGGATGCTTATAGTGTGTTTTAGTGATTAATACCTTTGGATACAGTTTTTAATTGTAGAAAGCAATATTAACTATGAAGTGAAAGAAGTGGAAGTGTTTTAGGTCAGATTGTGTATTTTTCTTGTTTATTCTAACAAAATGCCTCGTCGTTGTTGTGTTCCCAGTTCTTATTTATTTATTTTTATTCCCAAAAAATGATGAAATGCAAAAAAAATAGATAAGTGCAATACCTCGCAAAGATTGGACTCCATCAAAATATTCTGCAGTTTGCATACATCACTTTAACGAAAATGACTATAAAAACAGGAAAAAATGTATCCACTGCCGGTGTTTTGAATGTGCCTTTGAGATATTCAAAATTAAAAGAGAATACAGTTCCTTGTCGTTTTTTCAAATTAACCAAAATATCTTTCGACACCAGAAATAAAAACTCGTAGAAATCTTGAAGAACGCAGATAGAAAATCAAGCTGTTAAAATACAAAATTTTAAAATATTATAAAAGATTATTCAGAATTAATTAATCATTATTTCAAAAATAGTCAAATGCTTGAACGTTGGAATATTAAATTTTCAAAATCTAAAATGTACTTTTATAATATAAACTTTGAAAATAAAATTTTGGTACTTAATTCTCCAATAATTATTGACGAAAATATGAAAGTAGATGCTATAATTAGATTCTAATGACTTAAAGTGGTTGCTACTCGATTAAATTATCGAGACGGTCTCAGTTAGAAAATTTGCTGGCTAGATATGATTTCTATAGAAACGAAGGTGAAAATTCAGAAAATCATTTTCATAAACATTTGGATGTATGTTTGGAACAATTGAATCAGGCATTTATTATTGCAAATAATGAACAGTCGAAGTATTTTACTTTTGCTAAAAATCTTGAGATATTACTTGATCAAATGAAACAAATTCGAAATAAAAAAAGAGATATTCATCAGCCACTATTATCATGCCATTTGCAATTTGTTTTCAGTCCTCATCTATGTATATTACAAATTTTTTTTTTATTTTAACAAATAAAAGATATTTGCAACATTTGTCCTTAGATTTGTTAATATCACCACAGGATAACTGCAGTAATGAGAAGTATATCTGAAACCTTTTTTTGTATCTTTTTTGATTTTTAAGAAAAACGACAAAAACTATTTTGGGGCTGTGTTTTTTTCACCACTCCTTTACAATTGGGGGCTAATTTTTATATCATTTTATTCGTAGACTAAATATGCATATTATATCAATAATGCACAACTTTCGGAGACTTGTCCTCGAAATGACAGATTTTACTGGATTATAACCCCAGTATTGTACAGGAGAGACGTAGATATCTCCTGCGATACTTGTAGTACGTACTTGCCTTGGATGGGTTGGGCATGGTGCTATAGCGGCACGGGATTAGACTTCACCTACTACCTATTGGTCTCTAGAATGTTTGTATCCAGTTTGAAGGCGCGGGAGCGCAAACTCATGAATACAGGTCCTATCCACCAATTGATGGATAAATGCTATATGCCGACCATTTGACTGGAGAGACACTTCGTAAGTGTTCTAGAATGGCAGGGGTTCCTAAGAACCCCGGTGAGTAGTTAATTACATCATGATCTTATCAAAAGGTCGGTAAATATATTTATTTCTTACATGTGATTATGGATTCCCATTGTCAAGAATGTAATGTCGTTGCAACCTTACTATTATAAACGGTGTTTCTCAAATAAGTAGCAGCTTTCAGGTGATAGAGCACTATAAAAATTAAGTAAATGTTTGTATGTCCGAATGTTCATTATTTTCGAGAAAGACGTAATTGAAAGTACACGTAAATTCAATTGCGGCCCTGGTTCATAAATACGGCCCGCAACGCTTCACTCAGTGACCTAGTGGTTACTAGTATTGTATGTATTTTTTGCTAATGTATTGTTTATTTGTTAAAATAGATTCAGGGCGGGACGGAATTTTTAATTTTCAGAATAATCACTATTTGTGCAACACAAATTCGTATGTCGTATATCCTCCGCGATTTCAAAAATTGTTTTCGGGTTTTCGGTAAATGTGTGGTGCGAAATTTTTTAAAGACTTTTTTGATAAGTTTTCTTATAATTACCTGCAAAACGGCAACGCACCTTGGCAATACGTTAATAGTGGAAATTTGTTTTATTTTTTCTTTTGTGTTCTTACATTTGCATAGTGCTGCCTGTAATGCATTTATTTAATTTATTAGTCTCAACATTATATGCGTAGTACTAAATTGGAAATCTTGGACGCCCGATAGTTGGTAATACATATGTAACGGGATTCTTGGAGAAACAAACCAACGAGACCCTCTCTTCAAGCATTATTATTTACACTTTACACTTACAACTAACTTAATCACTAATTGTTGTACTTAGATTAATTGAAGATATATTTAGGATTAGAACTGACGATTTTAGATTGATTACTGTTGACTTGCTTATTACTTATTACTTATGACTTACTATTTTATGACTAGATAATTCAGAACCGGGCAAACTTTAACTTCGCAGGAGCCGCTACATGAGGTTAGTTTGAGTCACTCCATACCCTTCAATGAGTATGAGAGAGTAAGCAGTAATGAATAATTTTGTTTTGCCTTTTTCTTTTCCCTTCCACTCCCATATCAAGCCCCTTCATCCCGTAGAAGAGCGAAGCCACTCTCGCAACTTAAATAATACCTACGAAAATTTTCGTTACTACGTTCGCAAACCTATTGGGTTTGACTATGGACTCACCTACGAAATGGAAGGGATAAGAAAAGGAAAGAATCATCTCACTAGCACTCGCAGGATCAATAAGGAGCTACTTGGTTAACCTTGAGGAGCACTCGGGAGTCAAAAGAGCCGAGTTTGCCCTCGCAGGATCAATGAGGAGCTACTTGGTTAACCTTGAGGAGCACTCGGGAGTCAAAAGAGCCGAGTTTATCCGGCTCTGCTATATAGGATCTTTATACTGTGGCTAGACTGTCATTAGATCGTTATTTTTAGTTATTTAGAAACTTTTAAACTGCGGATATGGCGAGTAAGACAAAATACTTCATTAGTAAATACATATACAGTCAAAACCGTTTACTACGACATCGTTTAGAACAACATACCGGTTATATTGACCAAAATCATAGGTCCCGGCTTAATTCTGTTAGACCGCCTTATAAAAAACACTGGTTTTTACGACATTGCTTATTACGACATATCTCTTTAAGCGACTACATTTAACTGATATTTTCGGAGAATTATATCTGTTAGAACGACCAACTGTATTGTAAACATTTGAATAGGTAACAGTATCCACATCTGGTACAGTAAATGACCATTAAGATCGCAAAAGTAAACAAAA